TTAATTAATTTTTTGTGCACACCAGCTGCTCTTTACATTGTGTTAACATTTGTTAGTGAATAGCCTAACAGAAATAATTCAAAATGAAATTTAATTAAAATTACTTATAAAGAAGTCTTTCCTTTTCCTTTTTTACCATTTTGGAGTTGCAAAGTGTTGTTCTGACGGTGACGATGTCCAAGGGAAAACTTAAATGTTCCCTCAAAGGTACAGCAAATGTCCTTAAAGTCCAATTGGGTATCTTAACCCTTCAACTGAGCATCTTGCTGGTGATCCATTCTGAGAATTTGGCCTCTTAAACTCATTTGAATCTCCCGTCGAAGGAATTATGGCACGTGCTTGTCCACATTGGCCACACGGAACATATCAGCATGTAGAATCAAAGCTTTCACTTGTGTTTTCTATCACTGTATAAAAGATGCATGAGGCTTCATTTACTGTATGCGCTGTTATCTGTCCTCTGTCAGTTTTATTATACAGGGTGATTCAAAAAGATTGATCTGATTTCAAAGCGGCATATTTGTACAACCGTGAGGCACCGAGGAACCAATCACAATCCAATTGAAAGAGAGGGTCATAGAGTTTCTGACTGTCAGTGGAAGATGGTTCCCTTCAGTCTGCGAGGAGATGAGACCCCTGAGCGGAAAGTGTTCTGCGTTCTCCACTTCAATAAGAGTGAATCCGTCATAACTGTGCAGCATGATTTTCGTGGGCAGTGAACCTCCAACAGCTCAGAGTGTTTGTCGTTGGTTCCACAACACTGGATGATCTCCGAAATCTCACTGAAAGAGCCGTGAGTGCAGCGACACCCGACATGGTGAATCGAGCCTGGGATGAATTTGACTATGGCGTTGATGTTGTCTGTACAGCTGGAGGAGGTTCATATTGAGCACTTGTAAACGTTATGCTCATTTAAACCATTTACAGTTCACTGCATCGTTCTGTAATGATTTAGAAGTGAAATAAATCATTTTGTAATCAGATGAATCTTTTTGAATCACCCTGTATTTCATTGTAACGTCTTGCTTATTGTTGTTCCATTTTGTTTGCCTGGTATTGTTTTGTAAAGCAGTCTTGTGTTTAAGAAAGGCGCTATACAAACACATCTCTATGTATGAACTGTTTACATACAGTTGAATGCAAAGTTTAGAACACACCCACTCATATAACATACTTTGTTGATTTTCTAACTGGAAATAAGCACAGTTAAATATGACATGTTTTTAAATATGGCAATTTCTATTTATTTCTATTTAGAGTTTAACATATTGGAAAAACAACTGAATATTTAAAACGCGCCATAACTTTTTTACAGTATCTTAAATTTAGTAAATAACCAGTAACTGTGCATTAAAATGTGTGTACAGAACTGTGTTCTCTGTAGAGTGTGTTGACGTATTTTGAGCTAGAAACAAAACATGGACTTTGCCCAAACCTTCGGTCACTGCAACCTTCTTTCAGCTAAAGCTTAAATCAGGACTGCACAAACACTTCAGTCTGGGGGACCCAAAGGTGCACAGAGAGCCAAAAGGACAAAATAGCTAGTTAGTTACTCATTAGCTTTACGTTTTCACCTTACCTTTATACTGTAAAAACGTTATTGAAACATTCTTCCATGTAACACCACCTGTTACACTCTATTGCATGTTCCTGCTAGCTGCATATATGTTGTTACTTGTAACTTTACACAAAATCTTTTAAACCAAAAAACTTAAAAATATAAAATTGGAAGAGAAATAAAAAGCTATAAAACAATAAGTTGTGTAAAAATATGTGTTCTCTTATTGGAGGGTGTGGAGTTGAGCAACAGGTGGGCTAAATCAAACATCCTTGTGGGCCAACTTTGGTCTGGAGGCCCCACTTTTGGGCCCTGGCTTACATATTCAGAAATTGTAGATATAGCTTTTATGTTTTATTTGCACATTTGAATAGCAGCTGAGTGCCACAGTGGTTAAGTGCTCCTCAGTGGTGCTCCAAGGCATGTGGGTTCATATGCTTTGGAGAACAACAATTTGGAGAACCCCTCTGCTGCTGGACCGACAGAGGCTGTTAATCTTGACGAGAAGGCAGCATCGGCATAAAAAAATTAGTTTCTGAGTCGAGGTTTATGACGCCCTTTGGTGGACGACATCCAGAGGTCGCAGTGAGTTTATTTCAAAACACAGAGCAGCTTGATTTATTACCTCGTAAATCTGGAGCGATTTTACATTTTAATTGACTCAATTAGTCTGCGTCAACTGACATAAACTACCATATATTACACGCTTGAAAGCAAAGATAGAAAACAGGTAAATGAGGAAAGAGTGCAGAGATTTGCACTTCTCATCCAGTCATGACTTCAACCTACTACATTTCCTTCTGCTGTTAAGCATGGTATAGAGCCGGGGTCATCAATTAGCGTCCTGTCAGCCAGATCCGGCCAGCAAGTTTTCACTGGCCGCAATCCATTCCCCAACACATTTTTCCAGTTATATTAAAACTGTAGAACCCATAATCTGTCCAGGACCTGTTAAAATGTACATTAAAGTGGATATTTTAGCACTATCTGATCAGCAGATATTTTTAGGAGACAGCTTCTGTGGTGCTACATCAGTTTCCCTGAGCTGAGATTAGCCACTGTGTTCTTTTATGATAGATTTGATGATTTTTTTTATGAACAGTTTAACTGCAGGTCAGGAGAATCTGCTCTGTATTTTGGAACAACAGCATTATAAAGCCATGTTGTCTTCCTTTAAGTTTCCAATGTTTCTCACAAAGCATTACGGCTCAGATATCTGTGTTAGCTAGCTCATTTTGCTAGTTAACCTCTCTTTTGAGTGCTACTTCCTGGCTTATCAGGAAAATGAATATGATTGGAAAATCCAGTTTAGACCAGCTTTTGCGAGAAGCTGCTTTCAGATTGCCTAAGCTGGGTTTTGATGGTCCAAGTGGCTGACATGCCTAACTTGACATCCAAATGAACTACATGAAAATATGCTGGTCAATTTATCAATCTGGTGGAGCAGCTAAGCTGTTGGACTAGCACACAGTACGGTTTCACGTGAGTTCGATTGGTTAGCTAGTCATGCTGGTAGACCAGCTACACCCACAAATCAAATACAACTTAATAGCTTATTTATAACCTAAAATAAATCTGTGATATTATCTATAACCTGAAAATGTGAGTAAACTAGCTTGCCTGCTAAAGATCCTACAATGTCAGAAAAAGGTTCTGTGCAGGTACATTTTTATTCGTCAAGGTACAAACAATGTAAATGTTCCCTCAAAGGTACAACAGTGGTTTTAAGGTCCAATTGTGAACCTTAAAAAAGTTTTTCCAGGTGAAAAGTTCATATTTGGACCTTTTCATAAACTAATGTTTTAAAACAGAACAATAAAATAAAAGTCCTGGAGATGAGACGGGGTGTGTGGAGTCAGGACAATTTCAAAAATATCATGTCAGTGGATTATGGTACAGTTATGTTCCCTGACTAAAGGTACTGAGGGTTCCACCCCAATGACAAGAGGGGCACTGATCCAGTGACACTTCAGTACCTGTTTTTCTGAGAGTGTAGCTGATTATTATCTGCTCTGTCAATATAAATGCATTTGACAAATATTTTGCTATTGCATTTTTTCTACAGGGCCCCCTAGTGGCCATGTTGCCCATGGAATGGAAATCAACTCCCATATTTTTTAGTGATATAATCAAAGTATATATTTCCTCCCTGTAACTCTGTCATCAGATGAACTATGACTCTGTCGTCTCTCTGTGTGAAATGTTGAGCTGCTAGCAAGCAATGTGGGGTGAAAGGGAAGGGGTGAGAACCCCCTGCTGTGAAAAATAATTCACACCTCTCCACAAGGACAGCCGTTCCAAGATAAAACAGATAAAAATTGCAGCTTTATATCAAACAGTCCTGCATAACTGACACAATAAACACACAGCATTTAAACACAATAGCAACACTGTTTAAAATGTTGACTTGGTTGGTATTTTGTTTTTTGGGGGGTCATTTTTTAATGATTACACATATTTGTAGATTTTTTTGACTCTGGATTCCCTAAAATTGTCGTGGTTGCCCCGTTTCTACAGTCCTAGAATTGGCACTGGGTAAAGCAAACTGAATGGGAGGTCTTAGGCCTAAACTGTGGCTGCCTCCCATCACAGTCATTAACTCATTTATTCTGTGAGGACAGAGAAGTGAGAGGTTGAGCAAATCTCTCCAACTTCAACTCCAGCAACTACAGCCAAAGACAACTTCCACTGCAAATCTGTTATTGAGGAGGTCTTAGACTCGTAATGCCTCTTTCAAAGCAACTCAGAGCAGCCAGTAAGCTGGTCCAAAGCTTATCGAGTCTGGCTGCATTCGCCTAATTCCTTATCTCTCCAAACACATCGCTGGGGCCCAGATGAAATCGGCACAGTTTTAGGAAACTCAATAATGGCCAAAAGCTGCTAATGTACTAACACTGTATGAATCGAGCAGGGGGTGAAAATATTTACACTGCGGTATCGGAGCGGGGTTCCGGCCGCTCACCTACGAGCTGAAATTTCCACTTATTGTACAGCTTAAGCCAACAACGTAATCAGCACGGGTGCCCCATTGTTTGAGTAGCGTTGACATAAATTTACACTTGGCCAGTTATCACACGCATGAAGCTGCCGGCGTGAATGTAATTGGCTCTCCTTTTTCTCATTGACTGAACACGTATCACACCCACACAGGTCAAAGAGGACGGAAAGAGTACGAGCGAGAGGTGACGGCCCACACGAGTGCATTAAACTGAGCTGTTTGGGCAGCACAGCCAAACTTCACATTTTTATAATCTACATGCAATAATCATAACATAATCTTCCTCAGTACTGTGCTATTGACAGAGGCTTTGGATTCATGTTTAATTCATAGCAGGAACTGAAGTTTACAGCAGTTTCTCCTTGACCTTCAATATGTTTTTTAGATCTTTCTTGTCAAAAGCACATAAATAATGCAAAAAAATGTGTTTTTTGGGTTGCTCACCTGGTTTTGGAGGCTTCACACCTGCTCCTGTGGTTGGAAAGAAACAAACAAACATTAGAAAGATGCTTTAGCTCTGTTCAGCTTAATATGCATCATTTTGAAAAATAACGCTTCAAAAAGATTTAAGTTCAATATGGTTTTTGATATAAAGTAAGTCATAGACCACCCTTCATTGATTTAATTTCCTGTCAAAGCAGCCATTAAATACAAGTAATTCGGGAAATATTCCTGAGCAGATTAGATATAAAATGATCCACTGGCTGAAGGAATTGGGGCTCCTAACAACCACCTGGAAGACGTGGTAGACCCCAAAACTGCCCCCATCAGAAAAACAGCACTTAAAGCTTTCATCTTTGAGAGAGAGGAGAAAATCAAGATGCTTCAGATCTGAAAACATCCACAGGTGTTTCTGTCCATCCTTCCACTGTGAGAAGAGGACTCAGCACTATAGGTCTGAAAGGATGTGTAGCTGTCAAGAAGAACCTCACTGAGAAAAGGAGACGGACACATCAAACAAAGAAGCTGAACAATGGACTGACCACCCCAGAGTCCAGACCTCAACATCACTGAATGTGTTTGATTACTTCAGATAACCAGATAATCAGAACCAGCTTCTAAGACTTTGGAGGTGTGTCTGCAGGAGTTGTTGAGGTTTCTGTGTGACTTCTTGTTAAATATAATGAAATAAATAATTTGCACTTAATGGCTATTTTGACCAGGTTGCTGACACAACTTGTATAACCTCCATAGAAAATCACTGGCCAATAGAATGGGGCACTCTGGAGCAGTCTAAGGTCTCCATGCCCAAAGCCAAGCGTGGGCTAGAGGGATATAAAGCCCCCCCAGCATTGAGCTGTGGAGCAGTGGAACTGTGTCCTGGAGTGATGGAACTCCATCCAATACCTTTGGGATGAGTTGGAGTGATCCAGAACTGACCATCCAACATCAGTACCTGACCTCACTAATGCTCAATCAAATCCTCACAGCAATGTTCCAACATCTAGTGTAAAGCCTTCCGAGAAGAGTAGAGGCTGTTACTGCAGCAAAGGGGGACAAACTCCCTCTTTGGACTTCTGGACATACAGCCTAAGCCATTTCTACAAGAGAGACAAAGAACACTTACCAGCTCCTAGACCTCCTGCCCCCAGTCCAGCACCAAGTCCACCAGCGCCCAGGCCTCCAACACCAGCTCCATATCCTCCTGTTGATTGAAGCATGTTAGTTTTCTTACTATCATTATGACTTTTGTTGTCCACAGCTATTCAGATTCATATCTGAAACTTTTTTGATATCATGCAACACACCTTTCTCATGTATTACCACCCTGTTTTACTATACTAGCTGAAATCCAGCTGGACTTCATATGACTGGGAGGAACCGTGAGGTAGCAGTAATACCTTTAAATGTCTCAAGTGCTGTTACAGTCCCTTAGCAGAGCAGTAGCAGTGCTGCCTGCTGCAGCGGAGTTATTGCTGCTGCTTTCTGAGTTTACCATGTGTGACAGTGAGCGAGGAAGAGTCCAAGTATGCAATGAATTTTCCACAGTCGGTGGGAGATTAGAGATGAGAGATTAAAAAGTGCAAGGCAGGCCAAATATAACAGCCTGTACGCCTCTAGAAGCAACTGGGTCAGGACTGGGGAAGAGCTCCAAGGTGGCATCTGTGATTATACCCTGCTGTCCTGATTACAGCAGCAATAGGAACACATCTTTCTTTTACAGTCCCTAAAAGTCCTGCACAATTAAGTGGTTAAGATATAAACAGAGTCAGAGTGGTTTGGTGTGAAACGCTCTGTTCTAGAGAAACTTACAGAGTCAGAATTATTCACAATGGTGGTGATAGGAACCAGACGTCTACCTCTAACAGCTCCCTCACAGAAAGTTATTACATTAAACTTTTAGCCTGAAACATACTTTTTAAACGGTGCTCACCACTATTTTCCATCATCATCATTCCATATAAACTCAGAAGACTCGTGTAGGTTCACTGGTGGTTTTGGATAGTAAATAAAATGTCTATATTTGTGTTGTAGTCATGGTGACCCCTGGTTCCTATCACCACCACTGTAAAGACATTTGAATTATTTCACACCAAACCAACCATCAACCATTTTGATGAATCAGTTGAATTTTCTTTTACATTCTAGGTATTAACCAGGTAAGTGTGTTCAGATTAAAATATGCGCGATAATTAGTTAACACTTTAGATAATTGGTCCACTTTAGATGCTTTGTAGATACTTATTTTACTTCTAAGTTACATTTAAATAAATATCTACTAAATTCACTTTAATTTTCTTTAACTCTAATCCTAACCCTAACTTTAATCTCAAACCAAAACCTAAACCCAACCTGACCCCACCACTGTTTAGAATCAACTGAGTCTCAGCAGATAGTTTGTTAACAGTCTGAACATCTGTAGATAATCTATGGGGGACTATCCAAATACAGTGGGATCGATAATTATTTTGGGTGACATGATGGTTAATTAGAAGTACAGAAAGAGTTCCTGATGTGTTCCTCAGAGGCATTATGGCTTGCAACCATTCAATTTGCTAGTTTAAAGGCTTTTTCAGAAAAGAATCAGACCATATTTTGCAATAATTGTGATTCCAAAACTGGCAAAACAAGGAATAATGAAAAACAGGTCAATGAATTGAGTTAACTAAGCCATAGAGACAGAACCAGAATGGCTTTTTATTATCCCCACATTATACCTTCACATCCAGTTTATCTTCTGCCCACATGGTGGGTGTTTCTGATAAAATGGCCAGTAGACACAAGATATGTGTATGTAGTAGACCAGCAACACAGCGCGCATGCTTTAATGATGGACACTTTATTGCTTAATAGTCAAATAGTTGCGCTATAAATGTAAGAACCTACCTGCAGCTTTGGCCGGTTTGAAGGGGACCCCCCCAGCACCTATTAAAATACAGTGCAACAAAATGAGTTATGCTCCATGGCAGCGTAGCACTCGACATTTTTTTTCTTTTTAACCATCCCTGGTGTTGGTGTGGAAGCACAGCTCAGATCATCCGTTTGTGCTGCGTCGAACGGTGGCCGAAATAATGGCTTCACGGGGTCTGTGCTGGACCAGGGAGCTTTAAATCTTGAGCAAGCACGGGAATACAGTGGTGGACACTCATAATATTCATGCTGTATTTCACAGGGATTTACGACTTCGTGAAAATTATGGGTATGGTTTATCCAGATGGAAAAGCAACAAATGGATAAACTGAACCATGTGAAACGATGATATCTTCTGTCGCGGTGTTTGACAGTGGTGAGAAGCAGGGTCAGCAGGTTTATGAACCATAATCAGGTTTTATCAGGTGAAGTATGGATCGTAGCTGGATCAACATAATGAGAGGCTTGTCTTTTGTGTGTTTGATGCTCTTTATAATACAAGTTTGACTGTATTTACACTGTGCTGTGTGGTGCGTTGCAGTGACAGTGCTGAAAAACATTAACTCAGTTCAGTTTAGGAGCTCTACTCGTATAAAGTGAGTGGAATAAAACTTAACTCAGCATGATTTTTAATAATAATGGGATACATTTTTGATATTTTTGATTAATTTGTAAACTCCAGGTACCTTTTGCATTGTGTTAAAATTTCATGATGAATGGACCAACAGAAGTGGCTCATAATCACTTGTTACATTAACTTCCATTCCAAGTTAAAAGTGCTTATCCTTCTCCTGTGAACTCATTCTGGAGATACAACGTTTTGCTCTCCAATGATGATCTGTCTGTTTATCTGAGAGATCTATGATTGGCTGCGATCTGTGGCTTCTTGTGGTCACATTCTGGGCTTAATTTAATACACTAATGCTGAGAAACGTGCTGTATCATCGTGCATCGATGCCAAATGTCAGTTCTGGTTTTCACCTTCATTAAAAACAAAAGACTTTTTGGACACTGATGTGGTTTGTCCGGTGTGTGATGGCCTTAATAAAACAGGCCTCAGGAACTACAGCTGAAAAGTAGCCACTAGGCTCTCACTGACACTATTAGATTTGGGTTAATTCATGCACACTGTCCCCAGTACATAAGTGAAACCTCACTGACCCCTGATTAAAATACCCTGACCATTGATCATCACTGATTAAAACATACTACCCATTGATTAAAATACCCTGAACACTAGTTAAAATTCGCCGACCATTGAATAAAATAGCCTGACCACTGATCAAACTACCCTGACCCCTGATTACCACTGATTAAAATACCCTGACCATTGATTACTGCTGACTAAAATACGCTGAACACTGACTACCACCTGACTATTGATTATTGCTAATTAAAATACCCTAACCACTGATAATTGCTGATTAAAATACCCTGAATACTTATTACCACCTGACTATTGATTATCACTGATTTGAAGATCCTGACCACTAATTACAACTAATTAAAATACCCTGACTACTGATTACACTGATTAAAATACCCTGACCACTGATTACAACTAATTAAAATACCCTGACCCTTGATTACACTGATTAAAGTACCCCAACCACTAATTACACTGATTTAAATACTCTGAACACTGATTACACTGATAAAAGTACCTTGACAATGGATTACCATACCCTGACCATTAAATACAATACCTTGACCTCTGATTACCACTGGTTAAAAGACCCTCACTAGTGTCTGTCTGAATGCTCACATGTTCTTCTGCATGAGTCAAAGATTTGGAGAGGTCAGTGGATTTCTGTGTGTTGTGCTAAGGTGAATCCTGGTTCTGGTTCTAAGAAGGTTTGAGGCAAACCTGGGTAAAGTCCAGCACCTGGAACCACACCTCCACCTGGAACTCCTCCAGCTCCCACCCCCGCAGGCAAATACACTCCTGAAAGAGAGAAAGAACCGTTCTACTTATTACAGTGGAATCCCACTCTAAAAAGCACCAGGCAGTTTAGTGTGAAGTGTGAAGAACCATTTTAAAGGCTGAAGAACCTGCACACAATGTACAAGCTCTGGAGCACTTAAAGGGCGTGAGGAACCTGCTGAAGCTTAAAGATCCTGCACATCTTGTAAAGTTTCTGCATCAGTTAAAGAGCGTGAAGAACCTTTTTGAAAGGTTAAAGAACCACCTTATACTGTAATGTATACAAGTTAAAAGGTGGGAAGAACCGTTCGATTACAGAGCCTCCACATCATGTAAAGTACACCAAATTCAAAAATGTGAAACCCTTTCTTAAAGGTTAAAGAACCTCCACATAAAGTAAAGGTTCTATACCAATTAAAAGGTGTGTAGACCCTTTTTAAAGATTAAATAACCCCTGGCATAATGGTTCTGTACCAGTTAAAGGTGCAAAGAACTTGTTTTACAAAGAAAGAAAGAAAGAAAGAAAGAACCTCCACATACAGTAAGGGTTCTATACCGATTCAAGACTTATCCTGGAACTGTATGCCCAAGCCATTTAGGTTAAGGTTCTAGGAAGAACCCTCACTTTGATATAGACGTTCTTTAAATGTTTAAAAGGTGTTTCAAACTTATGTACTTAAATGGTTCTTCAGATTGATGGAGAAGGTGTTAAAAATGGTTCTATACTGCAGCAAAAAGGGTTCTTCTATTGTTACAAGCTTGATATAATGACAGCAGAACCCCTTTTGGTGCTATATAGAAAAATTTTCAAAAAGGTTCTATATGGAACCATAAACAATACATTCTCCATCAATATGAAGCATGCAAATGTTTTTTGAGTGTTCATCGTTTGGCATACAACCATTGTCTTTAGTAAAAAACCCTTGAAGAACCATCTTTTTTAAGAGTGTATGTCAAGCTTGTAACAATAGAAGAACCCTTTTTGGTGTTGTATAGAACTATTTTGAAGAAGGTGCTATATAGAAGTATCTACAACACATTCTCCATCAATCTAAAGAAGCGATTTCCCTACGCTAAGAACCTGTTAAGCATACAAATGGCTCTTTGAGTGTTCATGGTTCTACGTACAACCACTGTCATTTGTAAAGACCCCTTGAAGAACCATCTTTTTTTAAGAGTGTATGTCAAGCTTGGCAGAACCATTTTTGGTTCAAAGAACTTGTTTTTCAGGTGAAAGAACCTCCACATACAGTAAGGGTTCTATACCAATCCAAGACTTATCCTAGAACTGTATGTCCAAGCCATTTAGGACCGCTTAGAACCATTTAGGAGCCTTCATTTGGAAGAGTGTGGGTAGCATCGCCTTTTATCATAGTGTTGCAATAACATTTTGTGAGTTAGAGCCCAACAAAAATAATCATCTCATCCAACCGAGCGAGTGCTGTGTTGTGTCTGTGCAGCGCAGATGTGTTTTCAGAGAACGTGTGGACGACTTCTCAGAACACTGAAGGTATCTGAGCAACTTCTTCCAAAGTAAGGGCCTTTGGCTGAAGCTGGGAGGTAATCACGGTCAGTTTGCGATATGGCAAATGCACAGCTAAACAAAGAGAGGGCGGGAAAACGGCCTGTGCTGCTCTGAGACTACTGGCCGCTTCCCTGAGGGACTTGTGAGCTCAGACGGCCGTTATGAAGTTGTATTTTGAAGGCGAGCCTGGTTTGCATCAGAGGGACCGTATGGAAAGCGAGAGTGAGTCTTACGGTGATGGAGATTATATTTAATGGGTTTTACATGTGTTTGGAGGCCAATTAATCTAAGCCATATGTCAAGGCCACTGAAGTGTTTATTAGGAATAATTCGGTGCGTATACATCGGTTACAGGCAATTTTAGTGCTCTCTGTGTACAGTGAAGAATGTGGGAGAGAACATACTGGTGCCGATAAAGGTTCTTTGCATTGTGTCATAGAAGAACCACCATTGGTTACCTAAAAAAAACTCACTTTTTCACTTTTTCGGGAATCGTTTCTGTAAACCGCCATATCATTTTCAAGAAAGAACACTTAAATAAGTGCAAAGACTTTGCATTATGTGAGGTTCTTAAAACCTTTAAAAGGTTCTGCATATTCACAAGTTCCCTTTTCAAAAAGAAAGGTTTTCAGTGAAGCAAATGTGGTTCCTCTTCGGCATTGCTCAGAGAACCCTATGTGGCACTTTTTAAAGAGTCCAGAAAGACACCAAAACAGGGTTCTTTGCATGATCTGATGCAGCTCTGCACTGCCGAAGAACCACTTGTAGTTCCCTGAAAAAGTTAAATTCTCTAGGGCGTTTCTGTAAATGAGGTTAAGAAATATAAAAATAGAAAATAAGTCAATAATTAATTATTAAATAAATAATTACTCAAAAAAATAGTTATAATATATAAATGAGGCGTTAGTGTGAAGAACGTTTTTGAAGTTGAAAGAACTATATATAGAAAAATTTTCACAAAGGTTCTATATGGAACCATATACAATACATTCTCCATCAATATGAAGCATGCAAATGTTTTTTGAGTGTTCATCATTTGGCATACAACCATTGTCTTTAGTAAAAAACCCTTGAAGAACCATCTTTTTTTAAGAGTGTATGTCAAGCTTGTAACAATAGAAGAACCCTTTTTGGTGTTGTATAGAACTATTTTGAAAAAGGTGCTATATAGAAGCATCTACAACACATTCTCCATCAATCTAAAGAACGATTTTCCTACGCTAAGAACCTGTTAAGTATACAAATGGCGCTTTGAGTGTTCATGGTTCTACATAGAACCACTGTCTTTACTAAAGAAACCTTTTTAAGAGTGTATGTCAAGCTTGGAACAATAGAAGAACCCTTTTTGGTGCTATATTCAACCGTTTTCAAAAAGGTTCTGTATAGAACCATCTATAGCACATTCTCCATTTATCTGAAGCATGCAAATGGTTCTTTGAGTGTTCATGGTTCTAAGTACCATCACTGTCATTTGTAAAGAACCCTTGAAAAAAATCTTTTTTTTAAGAGTGTATGTCAAGCTTGTAACGATAGCAGAACCCTTTTTGGTGCTGTATAGAACCCTTTTTAATCTAAAAAAAAAAAACATTTCACCATGCAAATGATTCTTTGAGTGTTCATGGTTCTATATAGAACCACTGTCTGTACTAAAGAACCCTTAAAGAACCATCTTTTTTAGGAGTGTGGGAGTTATTTTTAAGGGCCGGTCAGATCCTCCATGTTCCTTGTAAGCAAAAAAAGAGAGCAGAAGAAGAACTCTGGCTCGGAGAACCATCGCTAAGTGAGGTGTTACGGTTACAGCTACAGGGAGTTTCAGCTCTGGCACGGTTCTAACAAATGAGGCAATGATGAAATGGAACAAAAGAGCTTCATTTAAGGTTGCGGTCGTGTTCATTCCTGCTGGAAACTTAACATAAACTGTGAACATGTTTCCTGAACGAGGTGAAGAAATTGCCTCAGCTTTGCTGAAGGAGAGAGGCTCTGCGAGGACACACCAGATCCAGAGTGCACAAATTCCCATATCGCAAACAAAACCCTGATTAAAATGCGCAAAAAGAAATGTTTAGTCTGAAGCCGGACTGCCTTTTTGTCCAGAAGAGGGGAAAAAAGTGGTCAGCTCAGAACCCTGTGCCAACTGGGACTGTGTGTCTTCACAGCGGCACGGGACTTTTCGAAGGAGTTTATGACTTTGTGTTTTCGCAGAGCAGTTTCCGTCGGGGGAACTGGGGGCTTTGCAAAAGATCCTTTATTTGAACGAGCGCGGCCGACTTGTCCTCGGAAAACAGATGAGCTCATCGGCGACGGAGCCGGAGGGAAGATGCTCTTCGAGAGCTCTCCCGGACACAGCGAGAGACTTGGAAGGCCAGGAAAGCGATCGGGTTTCGTGATGCTTGGACTTGTAGTGCATCGGCTCGCAAGGTCACCACGGGGTTTCAGAAACATCGGCCTGCCTTCGTAAAAGGAATCGTACTGTTTGCCATCGTTGACGTTGTATGCCTCTCCATCTCACCTAGAAGAACCTGTGGTCATCTTATCTTCGCTCTGCAGTGCCCCCTAGCGGCCATTTTACAGGCATACTTAAAAAAATGAAATGTTATATTTACTTAAAAACATTTTTTAAAAATGTGCGGAATGGTTCCCCGCAACGGAGTTAAGTAGCTTTTAAAACACTTGATTGAGTAATATATACTATATAATTCTTAAATTCACCTTAAAAGGCACTTTCTTTTAATGTGATACCGACATGTTATGTATCAAAATGTTCAAAATAATCTCAGCTTTTTCTATAATGAGGCCCCATTTGACCTGGAGCACTGTGTGAAGAGATAATTCAGCCCTAAAGCTGAAGAATTTAGTCCAATTTTGAGAACTTCTTCATATCGCTTGTGAAAACACAGCTTTATTTATGTGGACGACTTGTTTTGGTGCTTGAAATGGGTTTAAGAAAGTCTCGGGTTCACAAAAGTCGTGGAACGCATGTTATCTTCATCACTACTTTCCAAAACTGCTGCAGCAACTTCAGCAGCTGTAAACTCTCTGCACGCCATTTCACATGTGTCTCCGATGTGGACTGAATGAAGAGTGAAGGGTTTCCGGTGTGATAGGCAGACCTTAGTAATTTCCTGAGTGTCCATTGGTCAGTTTCACATAGAATGTAGACGGACACACGAATCCTCCAGTTCCACACGGTGAGAGGCAGATGACGTGTATCTCAGCCCTCCGGATGTGAGTCACGTATGATCTCGTGATAAGATGGAATGGAAAGGGCGACTCTACAGATTCAGGAAATGATTGAACCGGATTTCTGCGCTGGATCATCACAATGATATTAAACATCACAAAACAACTGATTTGATGCGCTGGCATGTTCGTTGACCCCAGAGAGTTAATACGGTTATGTTCCACTAATTAAGCAGAAAATGATTATTAAGTTAATAGGTTTAAGTTTTAATCAGATCATTTTATTAAGTTATTACTGTGTAACTGAGCTGTTGTA